TTCCTCATGTGGGAGAAGGCTCTAGGCCGCACCACATCATGAGCCGCCGCAATCATTCCCAGCAGGGACCTGAGGCGCGAGAGGGGATCTGGGGTGCCGCAAGAACCTCCGGGCAGACGGGGGTAGTGTTCATCCATCTGTCCTAGGGACAAGCGCACGGAATGTCACAGAGTCTAGTGCGACCGAGGATAGATCCTTGCGCTGAGGGTTGCAGACTGCTTCTATCGTCATGGTGCTACGTCCCCTAGCGGATCTTCGATAGTTGGGGATATCACGATGCACCTATTCGTAGAATTAAGTTACAAAGGTAACTGGAAAATATTTCTCCCTTTAACACAAAGCAGGCGCTGTATGTGGGACAGGACCCAGTGCGTGTGGATCACGGGCCACTTCTTTGATGAGGCCAAGAAAGTGTTCGGTACTATCGGCAGTTGGAAGTACGCATCTGTCAAGTCTATGGAAGTATCCAATTCCCTGCCTGACACATCGAGAGAGCTGCTTTGTGGACAGCATTCCGAAAACTGCGTTTGGAAATGCACATCGGTTCAACACGGGCTGATCCAAAAATGGGACGCACCCCGCCTGATTCTTTGGGCACTAAGGAAGTAAGGGGGAGTTCAGCCCCATGGTGGCCTCCTGCGGGTCTTACCTCTACTGGTGCGCCTAGACTCAGCAGAGAGGAGACTCCGCTTGCAGTGCCTTATGACCCGTACCTGAGAGCTGTGCTGCCCGTACCGCCTCGGAATGGTGGTGGCTTTTGGGAGATTCTGCAGTGCGCAACCTGCGCAATGTTCTCTAGCCCTAGATATGTCATCCATCTTTGCTCCTCAGAAGCTGTAGAAGTCTGTGAGGAGCGGAACGGGAGCTGGGAACACGAGACGTCACGGGCCCGCCTCTCTGGTGTTCATAGCGGGCAGGGGGGGGGTGGACGAACAAGGGCCAGGGGGGCACTGCGTCACACCGTGTTCGGTCACGTGTCCTGCAGGACCGACGTCATAAGTACGGGACTGCTCATCCCTGTGAACTCGGCTGCTGTGCCCCCCCCTGGCTCTTGCCTCATGGAGGGGGGGGGCGAGCCCCTGGAGGTGGGGAAACCCCGAGTTAGCCCGTGATCAGAGATGCTAACACGCTTCGTTCGGCCGAAGCACACACATATCACTCACCGATCCTCCGACTGACCTCTCTTGGGAGGGCATAGTATGGATCAGGAAACGGAGCTCGTAGTGCCCTGCAAGCCCTCTCTGGTAGGCTGAGGCCTTGCGAAGCAAGTTATGTGCCTCGGGGAAAAGTAACACAATCGATTCACAATATTTGACATGTTACATACCCCCAAATCAGACTCAGAAAAGTAATGGAAATTGACCGGTCGGCCTTTATTGAAGGAAACATTTTTCCACCCCGGCCTCCTCTACCATAGGGAGGTCGTGTGGTGGGTGCGTTGCTCCCGCGAGCCACCCATGGGTCTGTCTGGACCCGGGGGCCTCGTCGAGGGGGGACGATGGATAACAGAGCGCGGATACGGGTCAGGATGCCTCCCGGGCCAACGCTCTCTCTGCCTCTGTCCGGCTCCGTAATGGCTGGTGGGCCTCGCGCCTCGGTTGCTAGGTGCGGGGCTAGCCTAGCCGAGTCTTTAGCTGCAGACTCCAGTCTCGCCACCCAGGCCTGCATGTCCGGGGCCGAAGAGGGACATCTGAGAGGTGGGCAGGTCCAGCAGCTGCCTCCTCTCCGCCTCCCTGATATTAGCCAGCCCAAGCCAAAGGTGCCTGGCCCGACTTGGGGCCGTCTGCCATGGAGCGGCCACCCATCCACCAGCTAGCGTCTGGCACATGCGCAGAGTCGCCGCCGAGGTGGTCCTCGCCTGTGACATGGAGGTCTCCACTGAGCGCCTGTCCAGAAGAGAGCGACATATCAGGGCCCCCGTGATGAATGCCATGTAGTTAGTCAATGCAGGAGGACCTGTGCTGCAATGGCATAACATCATATCCAGCATCGCCAAGACATCCTGTCTCGCTCGGAGGGAAGGAGAGGTCTGGTGCCGGGCCACACGGATGCGGAGGGCTGCAGGGCCATGCGGACTGAATCCTCGGTGTCCTGGCCACCATCACGGCTAGCGTCTGGCACATGCGCAGGATCGCCGCCGAGGTGGTCCTCGCCTGTGACAGGAGGTCTCCACTGAGCGCCTGGCCAGAGGAGAGCGCCCTATCCAGGGCCCCCGTGATGAAAGTCATGTTGTTAGCCAATGTGACGACCTGTGCGCAATGGCATAATATCTATCCAGCCTCGGCAAGACATCCTGTCCCGCTCGGAGAGAGGGAGAGGTCTGGTGCCGGGCCACACGGATGCGGAGGGCTGCAGGGCCATGCGGACTGATCCTCGATCACCGGTCCAGGACAGTCCTGCCCGCTGCAGTATATGTCGTACCCCAGAGCAGGCCTCTTTGGCTGCTAGGGGCTTAGGCCACTCAGTGTCGCGTAATGGTACGAACAGGTCGTCCGCGGGCACAACGTGGGTTGCATCCTCCTCCTTCCTCGAGTGGTGGCACCCACAGAGGTGAAGTCCCTCCACCGTCTGGATCCAGCGACGACGTTCGACGCCGGAGGGCGAAGGGAACTCGGACGAACAAAGAAGACATCTCAGAATGAAGTAAGTACTGTGGTAGATCTCGAACGGCGCCAGAGTCCAGAGTGAAAGAGGGGGTGCGGCTTGTGCAGGGGCATTTATAGAGGAAGGTGGCTGGTGATTGGAGCAAATTATTTTGATCTCTCTGGCGTGTGACCTGGGGGTCACGAGTGATATCCCACTAGCGAAAGTCCTAAGGGACGTAGCACCATGACGTAGAACGTGTTGTTTTACATGAATGTCTGTCTTAAATGTGAGGAAAATGTGCTAAATGTGAGGAAAGTGAGCTAAATGTAGAAAAATGTTTCAGCTAAAAAAATTTTAACAGAATTTTTACAATCGGCACCCCCATACGAACTGATGTTTTTGATCCACATTTTGAGATGGTTTCCAAAATCTCCAATTTTGCGTTTGCCACTTTCAGTTCAGTCTCCAATTCTAGTTGTTCCTTTTCTCTCCTTATTTCATCCTGCTTTGCACTTAATTCCAGCTTTAGTTGTTGTTCCTTCGCCTCCAGAAAGTGTCTTTTGTTTTAACGCTGCCATACGCTCCGTAGTGCTGCCGAATCCGTTGTGCTTTTATTTTTGCAGAGGAAGTGGATGACGCTTTTGACAGTTTAGAGACGGCATTTGAGTGCGCTTTGCGACTGACATTTGACGCACTGTCCTCTTGGTCCCAAATCCTCACATTTGTCTCGTTTTTCCACTTTATTTGCGGTTGGCAGCTTATATGAATGTTCGGTATTAGACAGCCAGCTATTTACATCCACAATGAAGTTGAAAATGTCATTTCTTTAGCGTCAAAATATGTTATTTGCTTGTCTCTTTCTTCTGTTGGCAGATCCAGTGTCATAAATGATTCATGTTGTTTCTTTGCTTCTTCAACAGATTTTATCATTTGATCCAAAATAGTTTTCACTGCATAAACATTGTCCGTGTCTTGCATTACATTACAGACTTGGTTCATGTACTTTTTTGCTTGCTTGAAATACGTGGATCTTTTATCCTGGCACGTCTGCATGAAATACATGATTCTTTTGTATGTAGCTTATTCTTCTCTTTGTCGAAACTGCGTATCACTCGCAACTTGTGTGAAATGTCCGACATTGTTCTTTAATGGCAGTGTACGAGCAAGTCACTTGTGCTTGATGCGACACGTACCGTGGTGACAGACAGCGCTCTGGCTTGCAAGCGGTGGCCGTGGATGTTGCGCGCTCCCAGAGACGCGCGCTCTTGAGTGAGTCCCCTGTGCAGGCTTTGGGCCCTCCAGCAACACCGCGTCCAATATGGAAACAAGATATCCAGTCTCCAAAAACAGCAAAATGTGGCTCCAGAGCTCCAATAGCGTCTCCGTTATCCATACGGTGTCCAGAATGGCCGTTCACTGTAGGATGACTGGGATTGAAGCTTGTGCGCTGACTTTATTCCACGCCGCAAAGTCTCGTCACCAAACTTGTCCAGATGTGCAAGTAAATTCACGACACCAGATGAGCAATCATCATACAAAGCTCAAAGTCCACGAAAGCCAAAATAATATTCCAGGGGCGGTTTTTTAATGTAGTGGCGATTTGTCCATAACTCAAACCATGTCCAACTTAGACCAAAACAAATCAAAAGGCCACTAAGGCGTTTTCAGGTTGGCTTTACGCAGGATAGAGAAAACATAATGTCCAAACAAAATTGCATTTTTTGGTGGGTTTATTCTCCAAGCAAATGGCAAACATGCAGAACTGCAGCCTCTCCTCTCGCTGGTAAAAAACCATATGCCCAAAACGCCTCTATACCGCGCCCTCCCCCCCCCATCGCCCTATTTATCCTCGTGACCAAATTAAATTAACATAAGCAATAATTAACCAAAATTATCTTTGCAAACTAAGAAAAATAATTAACTAAAGTAGATCATAATTAGAATCAAAATAGAACAAATAGCTCTAACAAAGGGTTTGCACAGATGGATGAAATGGTCATTAAAATAGTTACTGATGTCTAGACTGTCAGTAACAGCAGTACCATTAATATCTTAATAATATGGTGTCATTCTTTGTTTTCCTCTTCCAGTGAGTTTGTCTATGCTTTTCCACAACTGTGTCAAATTGCTACATTTAATTCGGGTGGCCTGCAGAGGGCGCTTATCTTATTTCACATTCAAAAACATAACACAAAAGCATATATTCTCAATATGACTTTGTAAATGGTTCAAAACACTGCATAATATTTGTTCTTTAACTGTACTGTCTCATGTGTATGTCTCCTCAGGGCTCCCGTAGTTCCCATATGTATCAGAGAGAGTGTGTTTTTGTATTTATTGTGGTCAGAGGCGGGAGCTGGAGGACGGTGCAGACGCTGTTGCACCGAGGGCCGTGCTGCTCCTCCACAAAGTACCTCAGGCCCCTCTCTCCGAACGGGTTGGAGGGGCCCTTGGGGGTCTTGGTGGAGTGGATTTTGCGGATCGGTGAGGTAGGTCAGTCCTTTGCCGTTGGCTGTCACCCAACCTGAGGACGAGACAGATTTGGTGGCGAAAAGTTTAGTCAATTAGTGATCATTGTAATGTTTATGCTTCATTTAGCAGAGTAAAACTGACTCCTCCCCTTATACACTGACTCCTCCTCTTCTACACTGACTCCTCCTCTTCTACACTGACACCTCCTCTTGTACACTGACTCCTCCTCCTATACACTGACTCCTCCCCCTCTACACTGACTCCTCCTCTTCTACGCTGACTCCTCACTTTCTATACTGACTCCTCCCCTTCCACACTGACTCCTCCCTCTCCACACTGACTCCTCCCCTTCTTCACTGACTCCTCCCCTTCAACACGGACTCCTCAGAGTCTCTCAGTTCTCTGCAGCTTCAAGCTCCTGTTTGAGCAGCAACTCAACTCCTCCCCATCACCGCCTCTTCACTGGAGCACCAAGTCTTGTCTTCAGAGTATATATTATCCCGGTGCCGTAGGGAGTTTAATGGAAATGATGAGCTTGTGCAAGCTCATCATTTCCATTAAACTCCCTACGACACTGGTGTGTTTTACATAGAGCCAAAATACAACATGTTATTCCTCATAATTAGGGGTATTGCTAAAGAATATGTAGATAGATTTTTAGATAAATATTGATATTCTTATATTCCACTCACCTGCAGGTCCACCACCACCTCCTGTCCCGCGGAGAGCAGATAGGTGAAGTGCCCGAAGGCCAGGCCGTACTCCGTGGCCTGGAGTCTCCCCTCTGTTTTCCCGGTTGTTGTTGGTGAGTTTCACAAAGTCTCCCAACATGAAGGGCTCCACGCTCACACAGCCCACGATCCGGTCCTCCTCCAGCATCTGACCAGAACCATGACTGAGTTCAGCTGTCCAAACCTTTAGTATCTTATTGATGTATTTCTGTACTTCTGATTACTTTGATTTGTTTTGTTGTTTGTGGTTTTGTATTTTAATCTGTAGCACTTTGAGGTTTCCTGGAAATGTAAATTGCACTATAACATTTTTATTATTATAATTAGTCAATGGAGCAGCTTTTCTGTCAGAAAGTAAATAAGTAATCTTTATATATATCGGGTCACAGAGACAAAGAGCTAGCCTCAGTCTTCGTTCTACAGCTGGGGTGTCAAACTCTTATTGGTCAGGGGCCTATTAAAAAAATAGGAACTGGTCGGGGCCGAAACAATAGAAGAAATTTCCTTTTCCAACATGATTTCAATGTGACATGAGTTTCACAGTTATTTTCTGGTTTATAATTCTGAAAACAAAATGTGTTTACTGTTTAGATTGAACCAAAACTGGATCAAATATAAATTATCGTATAATCATTTTATATTGAACTACTTAACTTCTAATTTTGTGTTTTTGGGTTAAAATGTTAGAATACATAAAATTTGGTTGTTTTCCTGAGAAAAAAGATTATGTATCACCTTCCTTGGCAGCCCATTACCATCAATTCTGCAAGTTAATAATAATAAAACAATATTTTAGGGGCCACTAAATATTGTCTTGCAGGTCGGATCTGGCCCCTGGGCCTTGACTTTGACACCCATGGTCTACAGCCTGAGTCCTGGATCTATAGTCTGTGGGAGCGGATCTCTCTCTCATTGTAGGTCTTCCTTTTCACTTTTTCCTTCTGTTTTTTTGTTTTGTTTTAAGTCGTTCCTTGCCGATGCAGAAGGGTCTAAAGACAGTGATGATCCTAGCTCTAAATCCCAACAGCAGTCGTCTCGGAGGACTTTACAAAGTTGTCGATTCACCAATTGTCACACAGAAACCATTGGTCCACAGCTAGGAGACCACTGTCCACAAAGATTAAGAAATGTCCTTAACTGTCCCGGATCATCACTGTCCCTAGACCCTCCTGAATCAGCAAGAAACAAAAAACATGAGTGGGATTGAATTGGATTGAAACTTTGTCATTCAGAAATTACTCAAACTACTAAAGGAAAGTAATAGTTATTATGATAAGACCTGATTTACGCACATTACAGCAGAGAAAGAAGGAAATGGGAGCACTCAGATTGCACACATCAAACATTAATAATTAGATAATAGATACAAAAAATTAAACTAATAAGATAATAAGAAAAAATGGAATAAAATAAAATAAAATAAAGTCTGGAGCTATAATTGCAGTTGGTTCAGGAGAATTTACAGATGTGTGTATTTCAAGTAAAAGTAAACAAGCTATTATGCTCTCAATCGTCCGCCATTTGTTATCACTGTCACAGACTTCAACCAAAGCTCCTGAAGTTAGAAGCATGGCTAACCACTTCAGTTCTCTAGATGTCTTTAAATGGTTTTTATACTTTAAAGTAATTTCTAAAGAACCCACCAGCAGGGCGTCAGAGGGGATGTAGAAGATCTGTGCCATCTGATCGCGCTCGTACAGACTCTTGTTGAAGTGCGTGACGTAGAACTGAGCCGTCATCTGTCGCTCCACGTCCTGCAGGGGTACCTCCAGGTGCCGCGGCGACAGATACTCTTTGCCCACGTAGCTGAAGAGCCATGAGACACGTTAGACTACACAGATTATGTACGTACTGTGAGACTGAGGTCTGCTGGCCATGGCCTCATGCTTCAGTCTTCAGCTGGTCTCTCGTCTTATAGTTCTGACTGAGACCAGAGAGAGAGACCAGAGAGAGAGACCAAAGACAGAGACCAGAGAGAGAGACCAGAGAGAGAGACCAGAGAGAGAGACCAGAGAGAGAGACCAAAGACAGAGACCAGAGAGAGAGATCAGAGAGAGAGACCAGAGAGAGACAGAGAGAGACAGAGAGAGACAGAGAGAGACAGAGAGAGAACAGAGACCAGATAGAGACCAGAGCGAGACTAGAGACAGATACCAGAGAGAGACAGAGAGAGAGAACAGAGAGAGAGACCAGATAGAGGCCAGAGCGAGACTAGAGACAGATACCAGAGAGAGAGGGACCAGAGAGAGAGAGACCAGATAGAGACCAGAGAGAGAGAGAAACCCTAAAGAGAGAGACCAGAGAGAGACCAGAGCGAGAGAAGAGCAAGACTAGACACAGATACCAGAGAGACAGACATAGACCAGAGATATTAAACATATTGATTATAGGTCTGAGTGCTGCTGCAGCTGCAGCTGTGCATACAGTGTTAAATACAGAGGGGCAGGGCTGAGGCTATCGCGGTCGTCCTGTAGCCTCAGTCACCGCAGAGATTTGATGGTTTTGGTCAGTGTTGATGGTCAGAGTTGATGGTCTGACCTGCTCAGTCTCTCCTCCTGGTGTAAGAACTGCAGCCACAGCGCCTCCCTCTGCTTCCCCTTCAGACCCATGTCGTCTCCGATGTAGACACAGGTCTCACGGCCCGTCCATAGCCCTGTGCTCTTAGAGAACTTCAGAAGCAGACCGCCTGACACAGGGACAGCACAGGGACAACACAGGGACAGCACAGGGACAACACAGGGACAACACAGAGACAACACAGGGATAACACAGAGACAACACAGGGATAACACAGGGACAGCACAGGGATAACACAGAGACAACACAGAGACAACACAGGGATAACACAGAGACAACACAGGGATAACACAGAGACAACACAGGGATAACACAGGGATAACACAGAGACAACACAGGGATAACACAGGGATAACACAGGGATAACACAGGGACAGCACAGGGACAACACAGGGATAACACAGAGACAACACAGGGATAACACAGGGACAGCACAGGGATAACACAGAGACAACACAGAGACAACACAGGGATAACACAGAGACAACACAGGGATAACACAGAGACAACACAGGGATAACACAGGGATAACACAGGGATAACACAGGGACAGCACAGGGACAACACAGGGATAACACAGGGACAGCACAGGGACAACACAGAGACAACACAGAGACAACAGAGGGATAACACAGAGACAACACAGGGATAACACAGGGACAACACAGGGACAGCACAGGGACAACACAGGGATAACACAGGGACAGCACAGGGACAACACAGGGATAACACAGAGACAACACAGAGACAACAGAGGGATAACACAGAGACAACACAGGGATAACACAGGGATAACACAGGGACAGCACAGGGACAACACAGGGATAACACAGGGACAGCACAGGGACAACACAGAGATAACACAGGGACAGCACAGGGACAACACAGGGATAACACAGACAACACAGGGATAACACAGGGACAACACAGGGATAACACAGGGACAGCACAGGGACAACACAGAGACAACACAGAGACAACACAGAGACAACACAGGGATAACACAGGGACAACATACAAAAATAATAATTTAGACTTTAATTTAGTCATCGATTCATGAAATATTTGTAGTGTTGTTTTTCGTCAAACCAGGGCAATTGTTTTATATAAGGGGCCAAATAGATTAGGCATTAGACGTCCTTGGGTGTCTTGAAAGGCGCCATGCAATAAATTCAATTACTATTATTATTATTAACTGGACAAGTTAAAAAAAGCAAATTAGCTTTGACTATGACCACCATGAGGCATGCATCAGACTTTTCTGTATCTGTTCCTTCTCAATTAAACCAAAAATAAATAAGAAGTACATTACATTAGATTCCTATTGTGTCAGGCCTCTCTATTTCACATTTTGTCTGAAAAAGCAGATCTAAAGCTGTGACAGGGGTCATAAAATAATAGAGTGAGAAACCAGTTACATGGATTTTATGGCAGACTTTTATGTTTTGTGGTTTGAAAGTTGGGTACTTCAGCTATTTTAGAAAATTTGAAAAGTAATTTAGGTGGATTTTTCATCACCTGCTTCCTTCTAATGCAGGGGTCTTCAACTCAAATGGCTGGAGTGGGTGCAGATTTTTTTTATCACAACCAAGCACAACAGACTGCTCCCATTCCCTCTACTGAATCCAGTGGCGGAGCCAGACTTTTAAACAGAGGGTGGCAAGGTTTTTTTTAAGGGGTCCACATTTATACTATTCCGAAATTTTATTTCACACAAAAACTGGCTAAACGATACATTTTAATCTTAATCTTGTCATTATTTTTTATATAAAGTGAACTGAGAGCACACTTGGAAACTACAAAGCAAAAAAGTGTATTTAAATAGTAGTCTGAACAAAAAAGTGCAAAATAACATCATTCAAACATTCAAACATTGCATTACATTTTTCTTTTAACAAATTTAGCAAATTCCTGCGGTTCTGGTGTAAAGCAGCAAAGATGTTGACAAACTCATCCATATTCAGTCCTCCTTGACCCTACACTGAGGCCACCAAGATGACTCAATCATCTGCCATAACAGTTCTGAGATGGTTTTTAGGGCAGAGAAACTTATTTCACAAGACGCAGTACTGACAGGTATTAAAAAGATCTTTGCAAGCCTCAAAAGCTCATGAAACACGTTCCAAACGTTCCAAAAGGACAAGGAAGTCCAACAGGGACTCTCTAATCCATTTTTTCCTCCCAAGAATCCGCCTAGTTTGACGTACCTCATGCTTAACGTCCTCTATATCTGACTCAAAGGTTCTGCCAAATGAAAACAGGGGCTCTTCTTTCAAAAATATTTTGGGGTCAAGCGACTGCACATCATCCATAATCTTAGCAATTTTTTTTCTTTTTTTGTGTGTGAAAAAACGCCTTCTGCCAATAGACAATCCTGCACCTGTCTGCGACACCCTCTCATTCTCTGAAACTCAATTATATAAGCTATATTTTAATACAACACAACAAATTCCTCATCATCTCAAAACATACTGCCTCCGAGTCTGACCTTCAGGTTTCATCATCCTGACCTACAGGCCTTTTCCTAACAAAAAAGGCCTGTAGGCAATGTTTCCTCCTTTTCTTTTCATGTTTACACTAAAGGGAAGAGGGCGATGATACGATGGGCAATTAATAATGGAAAATACACACGCATGCACACCCGCACGCACACAGGCACGCACACACAGGCACGCACACACACGCTGACACACGCACACAGGCGCGCACACACACGCTGACACACGCACACAGGCGCGCATACAGGCACGCACACGCACACATACACACACTAAAAGTTCTACAAACTGAACAAGTAATGCGCTGCAGTACGTGTGTCTATACTTTGTGTCAAATGTAAACGGTTGGCTCTGCATCGCTAACTTACCTCTTTGTTTTCATCACGACTTGGGCACATGTGTGAGTCCAACAACCCAAAGCATTAGCATACAGCACCGGCTCCACACGGAGTCAGGGTGCGTTCACAGACGGGGGAAACCGTGGGAATTTTTAGCTTTTGGCGGAAAAAGTGCGGAAGATTCTCAAGATTAACATTATTACATTGCCGTCTTCCGAGGGGGGCACTGGGGGTGGCAAGGATATTTTTAGAGGTGGCAGTGGCCACCCTGGCTACCCCTCTGGCTCCGCCACTGACTGAATCCTGTCTGAGCCTGAAAACTTGAGGGAATGGGCGGAGTCTGCTGTGCTCCTGCTTGGTTGGAATGAAAACCCTTTGAGGACTGAGTTTAATCCCTCTGTTCTAATGTAACTCGTAAACAAACTTACTGTACGCCACTCTGCGCTGCTTCAGCTGGAACTTGGTCTCGATGTGGAGTCTCTTCAGCAGACATCGGTGACACACTCCCGCAAGTAAAGCATTGTAATCCAGTTGCGTTAAAATACAATGACCTTCTGAAGATTTAGCAAAACTCTCATTCAAACAATTATGGCAGAGCAGATTCTTCTCCCCCTTTGGGCCGTTTCTTTGCTCTTTCTCGCCCTCGTCTTCAGTCATTGCCTTTTGCACCATTTCAAAAGAGCTATCGGTTGATGTATCAGTTGACGTACACTGGTTTGAAATCGGTTTAGGATTGAGAGAAGCATTTCCGTTGACCATATTTGGACTTCCATTATTGTTAGTAAGGTGTGAAGACTCTGGTGTTTCTGAATCAAGCGTTTCCAAATGGAACAAACTATCTCCGGACTCTGAGGACTTGCTTCCTGCTTTCGCTAACATTGGCTTGTTCCTAAAACTTGCGCTAGCCGATAGCTTTTCCCATGAGGAGTTTGACCCGTAACTATCGCTCAAGGATAAAATGGCGTTTTGGTTGTCGCTTTCTGTATCGATGGTTTCTAAAGCTGCTTGGAGCATTTGGAAGTTCCAGGAATGAGGACTAGCATTGGAAGACGTTCCTGATTTCGCCAAAGTAGACGTCACTTTGTCATCGTCAGTTTCCGTTGTCGGCAAACTTTCGATCTTCGCAACCATTGGGCTTCCACAGCTGAATCTCAGAGAACTGCTTAACGAGATTTTATTCCAAGACGAACCAAGATCATTGCTGCTTGAAGACCTGCTTGCGTCTGGCAGGCTAGCTTGCGCGATGCCGCTACACTCCGTACCCAAAGTTCCAACCGTAGTCCCTAAAGCCGTTATACAAAACTTGGCTTGTTCGCCTTTCCCGCTCTTGCAGGAGCGTTCCATTTCGCACGACGTCGCGTGGAACTTCTTGAACTTGAGAATCATTTTTGCAAACTTTTCCAGGCTAAAATCGACAGGGGCTTCCTCCATGTTCCTGAAGCTATCCGGAACAAAAGAGAGTTTGTCGGAATTTACAAATGGCGAAACTTGCAACAGATCTATCACTTTGCTGATGAGTTGCATGATCTCTGCACATATCCTGTCTTTGTCTTGGTTTTCAGCCTTGCAGTAGTCGTAGAAAAGTGCTTGTGCTTCTTTGCAAGCATGTTTAGCCCGACTGACCATTTCTAGGTTTGCGCCGATCCATTTTTGGGTTACAGCGAGAGAATAGGCAGATTTGAGGAACGTGTGGAGCTCTTGGACGCTTGTGACAGTTTCGGATGACGATTTTGTGAGAAGGCCGATCTCGAAAGCCTCGCGAGCCTGGAGGAGGTAGGAGCGTCGCAGGGAGGAGGGGCAGGGGATGGAGAAGCTGTAGGAGAGAAGAGATGTGCCTTGAGACACCTGAAAAACAAAACAAAGTGAAGTAAGTTGAACAAGATTATCAATGAAAAGCATGATTTTGTGAGTTCTACTCCCACTGGCCTCCTGCTTGGCGTCACAAACCAGTCAATCACTGAGACTGGACCATGTGACCACTGGGAAATCTTATTTTGTCTTTGTCAGAATTCTTGTTCTGGTGACATGTTTCTGTCGTTTTAAACATTTATGGACTTTTATATATATTTATGGGCATTGGTCATCCGCCCCTTAAGGACCAATGGCTCTATGTGTCTTTTATCATCGCATTTCTTGTGTTTGAGCAGATTCTCTGATCTGTGTTGGCGAATCGACAGCTTTACAAAGTCCTCCAAGATAACTACTGTTGTGATTTAGCGATACACAAAAATAAATTTAACTGAAAAACTGAGGTATCTTTTTGGACAAGACAAACGTCCTGAGAAAGGAGGACACTTGTAAATCCAGATGAGAGCTTTCTCACGGTTGACCAGTCAGATGCCTTCCTTTGCTGTGGAAACTCCATGCTAACAACACGCCTTCCCCTGTTACGAAGCAACGCTAAAGCCGCCGGAACAAATTCCCATATAAGGAAACCGACTCCAGCTAGCTTAAGTTCAATTTTTTCGGCAATAAGGCTAACAATATGGGTGATATCAGCAGTCAGTCTATTCCTCATACAACAACTACCTAGCAACCAAAGAGCCAATCAGGAGCGACGCTGATCTATTCAAGTACAACAACATAGCATACGATACCGCTAGTTTTAGTTAATTTAACACCCACAAAGTAAAGGAGGGTTCAAACCTTTATTTATGATGTGAAAGTGAAAAATGGTCACATACCGCATTGGTCAGCACGTAGAGAGGCGTGTACTGGCTGTAGACCACGGCCATCTTTGCTGCTCGGGCTGCGGACAAGAGACGATGGCTACTTTCTCCGAGTAAAGACTGCAATAAAAAAGGCCCAATATTTAAAGAGTAACAATATGTCAAAGTATAATTCTTTACAAACCAGGTCAACGTCAGGATTGGTCTTAAAAGCACCAAAGTCCTCGTCATTCATGGACACAAGGATGTTGGCGAGTAAACCCAGGGAGGTTCCTATGCCCTGGAACATGGAGAATTCAGAAAGTAAAAATATGTAAGATTTTCATGACAAGTCATAATTAAAGGGCCCTAATCTGTCATCATTAAAGGGCCCTAATCTGTCAAACGCATTTCTAAAACGTCCTCTTTTCCAAATACTTCTTTAACCGATAACGGTAGTTCAGAAATATTTGAATTTCTAAATTAGTTTTACAGCTTCTAAATCTTATTATTGTTATCATTTTGATGTCCCGCCCTCCACTGTTTCACCAATCAGAAAGTCCGTGATCCGGGCGCCAGAACTCACCGCGTCGAGTTAATCTCACTGGTAAAGTACCATGTGGCCACAGAACTACAAAAGGTCTCGTTATGATTCTCAAATCATAACAAAACAAGGAATAAAACCAGTATTTCTATCTTTGTGAAAAAGGTGTTGGTTATAGATTTGTTGTTGACAAAACTTTTGTCTATTCAGCTGTTATGGTCCCAGCTGGATTCGTCTGCATATCTGGCAACCTGAGTCCGGGAGAGTGGGAGAGGCTGCAGTACCAGTTTTGGCCTCATGTTTTTACATACTGCTCCTTTGATCCTGATGATTTTTTACCTTTTTATCAGGTTTAGGGAGTGCATAGTATCCAACCAGAGAAGCCCATATCAATTCTGCAGCTTCCAACCAAAGGCCTGAAAAAATATATTGAAAAAAGACATTATTAGAATTTTAAAAAGCTATGGAGAAAACTATGGCAGAAAGTATTATAATATTAATAATATTGTTTTTCATGACAGCACACACAGAGAAAAAAAAATAGATCTTGTTAGTTACTCCATGTATTCTTGAAATCAATTAAAATACGATGTGTTTCTTCATTAGGTAAAAAACACGTGTTAATTTTGTAAAATAAAAGATTTTTTCCATCATTTTTTTGTTTTTTCCACTAAAAGATTTTATTTGTGAAATATTTTGGGTTAGGGTTAGGGCTAGACATGGAAATAAATTAATGAAAAAGGAAGAGAAACGACATGTGACAGTTTGATTACAAACCCATTTTCTGGTCAACAAAAAATTGATTTGACAGATTTTTCACTATAACTACATATATTTTTTTTCATTTGAGCACAGAAAACCAAACTAGCCTCTTGTTGTTTTGGCATGTACGGCGTTGTTATGTGTGTATTAGGACTGGGCGATATGGCAAAAAAATAAAATCTCGATTTTATTTCCTGCTTTGGACAATTTAGATTTTTAATCGATTTTCATTAAAGTCACCGAAGACAGACTTTGCCCTGAAAAATGTGTTTTGATCTTTCCGCTCAATATTCAAGTTTCAAAACTATTTTTAATTTGTTTCCCCCAATACATATTATAAAAGTCTTGTACAGACTGTGTCCTGTAATTGCAAATATATTTTTTGTGCTGCTGGAACTCTCAAAATATCCTTCATTCGATTTAACGATTTTCACATTTTTCACAAATTCGATTTTTTCAAAAGCCGATTAATTGCCTAAAGTCGATTTATTGCCCAGCCCCAGTGTGTATATATGTAATATCATTGTTTATCTGTCGACTTGTGTTTGACACGATTTTAAAAGCCTAAATAGATCATTATTAGTGTGTGTGTGTGTTTAGTGTTGTCTGTCTTATACCATCGGTGGTAGTATTGTATAACTGTTGTAATGTATTGTCGTATTTTCAAGAATTCTACTGCATGATATTGTTAAACACTTTGTCTGATGGGGTTGGAACCCAATAAGCATTTGCTTCATCCAACTCCTTTTCGAACCAGGTACGGGTTATCTGTCTGCTATATTGATATATGTAAAAATGTGTATTGTGCATGGTTCAAAATAAATTAATAAATAAATAAAAAAAAAATTATAAATATAAATGTCGTACCCAGTTTCTGCAGGACCATCCCTCTGACTTGCAGACTGACGGCCTGCACCAGCGCTCGCTCACTCTCACTCTGATATTCCCAGCAGCCTGTGGGTCAGAGAGGAGAGTTGATTCGATTTCAAGTACTGCTAATTCTTCACAAAACTTCGTCCATGAGCCCTTCTCTAGAGGACGCACACACAAACACACAGCCCTACACACCTGTACTGCCATTATTGTTGATGAGGCTGCTGAGTATGTATTCAGCCTTCTGCAGTTTCCCTACAACCACAAAAAAACAAAAACCCACATTTATATTATTTGCAATTTTGGCCTGAAACAATTAGATATTAAACATTTTACTGAGAGAAAAAATATTGTGCATTTTTTTCCATTTTGGCCTCAGTCCTGGGTCTACAGCCTCAGTCCTGGGTCTACAGCCTCAGTCCTGGGTCTACAGCCTCAGTCCTGGGTCTACAGCCTCAGTCCTGGATCTACAGCCTCAGTCCTGGATCTACAGCCTCAGTCCTAGATCTACAGCCCCAGTCCTGGGTCTAGAGCCTCAGTCCTGGATCTACAGCCTCAGTCCTAGATCTACAGCCTCAGTCCTGGATCTACAGCCTCAGTCCTAGATCTACAGCCTCAGTCCTGGATCTACAGTCTCAGTCCTGGATCCACAGCCTCAGTCCTCAGTACCAGAGTTAAGGTGGACTCTCGCTTGTCGGATCAGCAGCTGTGGAGCCACTGGGACCTCCGGGTGCAGCCGGTGCAGCAGTTTGGTGATCCTGAGCAGCCGTCTGGACTCGTCGGTCCAGTAGAGGAAGCGATCCACCAAGAGGATCACGGCCAGAGCACAGGCGGGCTCCGAACAGACGATGGAAGCTTTCAGCAGAGCCTGGGAGAAGAAGAGAAGAAGACATTAACACAATCAAACAAGCTTATCTGCTTTTCATCCACAACACAAAAGATCTGGGATTTTAAAATCTGGATTTTAAACTGGTAGTTCACAGTGTAATGTTCAGTTGTATCAAAATGAATCTGAATTGAAACTGAATAGAATGTATTTTTAATGGTAAAAACTAATGCCTTATAATGATAATAGTGATTCAATACAATGAAATGTTGTATCGCACTAAATCACAGCAGCAGTTTTCTCTGAGGACTTTGCAAAGCTGTTGATTCGCCAACACAGATCAGAGAATCAAAAGAAAGAAAGAAAATCAACAATGATACTGAGTCATAAGAAACCAATGTGCATAAATGTTAATGCCATGGGAGAGTGGCATTAACATTTATGCACTCTTTGTGCCATCCTTGAGTCAAATTGATCCACCACAGTGAAACAAAAATACCATTAGAAAGTGAATTTTGATGAATTTTCTTAACTTGACTAATTAAGGGTATTATTATTCTACTTCTCGTCATCTGTGGCGGGACATTTGACCTGAGGGTAGTTAAAATGAGAATCTGAAATGAAATCTCTCTGGGACCTTCCTTGGTTAGATAAAGATAAATAAGTAGATAGTTATTGAACACATATTGATAAAGCAGAGGACCAGCAGAGGCTGCAGGTGCTGCTGGATGAGGGAGCTCAGGTTGCTCTTGTCGTCCTCCTCCACTGCCTCCTTGTACTGCCATCGCTCTGGGACGAAGGGCCAGAGCATGTCCTGGGCCTCCTGCAGCAGCGAGGACAGCTCCGGACACACAGCAGCTGCAACAGGAGTCAAACCAAGGAGTCAACAGAAGATATTTCCAAAACAACCAGTGCAGCCAAATCATCTTTAATGCAGTGATTATAGCATGAAGCCTGTCTCATAACGTACAGTACAGTATAGTATAGAGTATTGTATATTACTGTATGTACTGCACAGTCTCCATGCTGTATTCTGTGAGAGTTTATACTTGCTTCTTCATTTTGCTTAAATTAGAGATTTTATACCAACTTCGTATTATTATTTTAGTGATTTTGTAAAGATTTTGTGCTCCTCACTTTTTCCCTGAACTCTTTCTGTTTGTTATTGATAGGTATCTATTTATGTGGTTAGCTTTTACTAAAAAATGCTAACATATTTAGCCTTTTGCTAAACTGTTTTTCTGTATCTAAAGGTACATTCACCGGTTTTAGCACTTAATATGAGTTGAAAACTTCAGTCAGTAACTTTTAATAAATTTGGAAAAAAACTAAACATGTTTTTGGTGAATAATTGTTTCACATGTAAGCAGTCAAAATTATAGAATTAGTAGTAAATGATTAAATATTAGTAGTAATTAAATATTAGTAATTTTTTTTCCTCTAATTGAAAACGTGGACAACAGCGCCCTCTGGTGGCTGACCTCTGCAGCTGCGGGAGGTCTGTGTCTGCTCCTCTGTGGGCTTTCCAGGGGTCTCAGTCTGTTTTTGAGCCTCTTCCAGACACTGCTGCAGGAGAAGTCCCACCTCCTGACTGTCCATGGTCCCAGGACGGTCTGATCCAGTCCACACCTGACCAAGAACTGTGGTTCCAGAACAGTCCAAATCCAGACTACACCAGGCCGACAGCTGGTCTGGGTGAGGGTCTGACTCACTGGGAACTCCCTGGAACAAGAGCCCGGTTCACAAAGATCATTGCAAGATCACGGGATTTTCACCTAATTCCCTTTTTTTTTTTTTATAGCGTTTACAATAAATGACAGTCTTTAGTCCAGGGTTAGAGCCTCCTTTTGAATACAATACAAGATTTTGATTTATTATTATTGATTGTTATTATGACAGACTGTTTTGTGCTAATGCTAAAGCCATTATGTGAAATGTTCTGTACACTCTCTTAAATATTGATACAACTGTTAGAAGAAATGAAAAATAACATCTTTTTAATTGTTTAGTTGTTAAGTGCAAAACATATTTACAATTTTTATTTATTTAATTTTTAATATAATTCAAAATAATGGTCTGTTTTTCTCATAAAATAATATTATACTATAAGTGGTAATGATAGTAAGAGTAATTGTAGTAGTAGAAGTAAAAGTAGTAGTACTTATAGCAATAGTATTTGTAGAAGTAGTGATAATAGTAGCAGTAGAAGTAGTAGTAGTAGAAGTGGGAGTAATCGAAGTAGTAGCAATAGTTATATAAGTTGTAAGTTGTAGCAGTAGTAGCGATTGTAGTTGTATAAGTAGTAGTAGTAGTAGTAGTAGTAGTAGTACAGACGTAGAACTTACCCGCAGTGATGTACCGCTGCCTCTTTGGCTCAAACTTCATTCACGTCCAAATGACTCTTATAATAGATCCATGATGGTGCCAAATCACGATTTTACTTTCGGTTTTGTTTTTCTTCCGGGTGGGCGTGTCCTCGTGGCGCGTTCGCATGGAATCGGAAATGTTGAGTGCAACAGGTGAGATGTGTAAGTAAGAGACAATAACACGGGAATAATATGATTTATAACAATGTTTTCATTTGAACCCATTCTACAAAACATTTTAAACATTCAGACCTTTCTCCAGTTTCACACACACTCTGCTTCATTATTTTAGCAAAACACCAATTTTTTTGTTTTGAGTCTTACTAAAAAAAACAGCTCTACTCCGAGCTCCTCCCGTGTGACTGACTATGTCTAATCTCTATCAAAAGTGAGTCAAAGTAAAAAGCCTGAGACATGACTCAGTTTTTCACCAGTTTTATTACAAATAACTCATTCGTTTTATCACCCTCACTCTATTCTTAAATATAACTAAATCTTTAGGATGTTACAGTTAGAGATTTTAATATATTTTAGAGTTCATTTCTCTTGTGCTGTGTCCTTCCTGTTCTGTGACTGCTGATGCAACACTGACATTTCTCCGACAGTGGGACCAATAAAGGGTCTCTCTTAAAAGTATAGAGGCGGATTAGAATTTTAGGAATAAACCGCCCTCTCCACGTCTTATTTGAAAACTCTCTGGTCTTATTTGACAAGCACTTTTTACCAGATTGATTGACAATTGGGAGGACCAATAGTCTTGATGATCCACCCAGAAGTAGTGAATCCTCCTATATACCTTTAACTCTGAACTCCAGTGTAAAGTGCTTTGGGTATAACCTTGGTCTGTAAAATGCGCTATATATAACATTAATTACTAAACCTTTTTGAGATTTAATAAAACATATTGGTTTGAATAGGAGCCGTCAAAACGACTGCTGTTGGAGTTCTTGTCGTTTCAGAATTCAGAAGACTTTTAAGACAACGAAACGCTGCTTTGCAACCACTCTGTAGACCGTTCTCAATCTCATCTCCCTCACTTTGTATCTTTGTTTCTTTCGCTCCAAACTAAACCTTGTGCGTAATTGCGCGTACGGCCAATAGGCGGACCCTGTCATTACGCACCACCAGCAGCAGCAGCAGCAGCAGCAGCACACATCCAGCCTCTTCACTTCGCAACATCACAACTTCTGACCTTCCCCTTTCCTCTCTCCCTCAGCAGCAACAAGTCCTCACGCCGCGGCTGCTTCTCCACAGACACAACTCCTCTCCATGGATCAGCTCTGAACGGTAAGACTCTTCTCTCTTTTACACTTCTTTCTTTACGCACGGGGTTTTTGTGCCAACTGCTGCTATGACATTTGCATAGCGCGACTCGAAGCGCATCCATGTGCCACTTCTGCACTCCAACAGCTGTCCAACGCATCAGACATAAATGCATTTCTCTCTTTTGCCTGGTCAAAATCTGTATTATCTGTAGGTCTGGGGGTTGATTTTAACACTGTATAGAGAGGAGGGGATGCCATGTTGTCACGATAGTGGTGCAATGTGTGAGACAGGAAGGGGATAAGGGCCACCGCCTGTTCCTAAATATACTCTTGTGTTATTGGGGAGGGGTGGGGTGCTTTGCTTGTGGTTAAGTGGTGGTAAACAATAGCTGGCAACTTGTGCAAAGAAGCACGGGGGGGGGGAGAAACCTGTTGAGTTCTGCAAAAACATGAGTCAATAGTGAGTGACTGCAAGTGGTAAAGCACGGGAGCATTAGGTGCTGTGTGTGTGTAGTTGTAATATATGCATATATTCTTGTTTCTATAATAATACATGCGTATTCCAGACTCAAAGTGCATTTAAAGACAATAAAAAAAGACATTACAAGACACAGAAAGCTACACATTTTATTCTTGCTTCTTTATTAAGCTAAAGTTAGAGATTTCATTCGTGTTTCTTTATTCCACAATTTCTAGATATTTTATTTTTCTATAGAGTTAACCGCTGATGCAACACTGACATTTCCCCACGAATAAATCATCTCTTAATCTTAAATAGAAATGCCTTTTTAAATACAGATTAAAACTGCGCACATATATATACCATATATATAGAACACATGGTGAAACGACGGCATATATTGCGGCTCGACTGGATGTTTTTGGGTATATATATATTTGCATTAGCAGTAGTAGTGGTAGGAATTATATTTAAACGTTTTGCAGAATGAAACTATAAACAATAAGACATAGAATTAAAAGAATCTATGACCCATTTGTGTGTAGTTACTTACTGGGCAGAAGTGTCTCCGTGAACTCAGAATGTAAATATTATCAAAACTTATGAATGCAAAATGGTCGATCAATCCACCAATGTATTTATAGCACGATTTTTCTTCTGTGTGTGAAAATCTTGAATGATTTCGAGTCGCCGCAGAAAGCAGAAGTCGGGCACAGAATGATGGTGTTTTCCCAGATAAAAATGGTTTGTGTTTTTCTTCCTTGTAAATATTTGAAACGGCTCGAGCCCCTTTGCTTTGAAAAGCTGGCGATAAGTTGTGTCCCTCGATCTACAATCTACAACGTGTTTTGTTATTGGCAGAACGGTTTGATGTTGCTCTGTATCTGTATCTAGGCAACGAAAGTCAAGTTTGTTTGTATAGCACAGTTCATACACAAGTGCTGAACAAAACAAAAGATAGGAACGATAACACACGCCATAACACGGTGGAAGGCAGTGAAAATACAGGCCTGGATTTAAACATTGTCAGAGAAGAAGCCTGTCTCACGTTTTCAGGAAGACTGCTCCAGATTATAGCTGCATCAATCTGAAATGCTGCCTCCCCATGTATAGTCCTGACTAGGGATGTACCGATCCAGTTTTTTTGTGATCCGATCCGATTCCGATATTCATAAATATTGTTTTGCCGATACCGATCCAATTTTTTCTAATATTTTCAAAGCATTAAACATTTTGCAACCAGTATTACTTTAAAATATTTTTGTTATTTTTTGTTATAACATGATCAAAAATATTGTTTGGCTTTTGCTTAACAGACCTACTGAGTTAGGTCATAGGTAAGAATCACATCAGTATTGAATATTTCACCTTTAAAAAAACCTTGAAATAAAAGAAATATCAAAGAGGAACATTTATGAAAAAGCTGCCCTCAACATTCAGTATAACAAAAGGAAAAGAGCTGGTACATAACTGAATGACCACAAAAAGCCAGTACTTAACCAGTGTGTGAACTCTGTAAATGTAAACTCCCCGATATTTAACAAATTCGATATTATCCGATCCTTACAAAATACCCATATAGGCCCCCGATACCGAATATCGGATCGGTACATCCCTAGTCCTGACTCAGGGACCAGCAGGAGGCCAGTCCCTGTGCTCTTCGGAGTATTCTCAAAAAGATCTGCCTTTTCGTATGCGAGTTTGAGATCATGTGTGCCACCGACTGAAGTGAAAATATAGACACGAGTTTAGAAATGTACTCCAGTCAAGAGTACTGAAATAATTCTCATAATTGAAAATAAAGATGCATTTTTGTAACAAACCTAAACCGCATTCTCCTGGGGTCATTATGTGGCAGAGAAGATGATGATTAACAAAACATGTCGAACTTGTAGAAATTGTGCTAAACTTATTTATTCTCTATTTATTCTTCCTGTTCCACCACATCCCAAAGTGTCTCTATTGGATTGAGATCTGTGACTGTGAAGGCCATTACAGTTTAGTGATTATTGTCATGTTCAAGAAACCAGTCTGTGAGGATTGGAGCTTTATGACACAGTGTTTTATCTGCTGGAAGTAGCATCAGAAGATGAGTACACTGTGGTCATAAGGACATGGTCAGCAACAATACTCAGGCTGTGGCAACGATGCTCAACTGGTACAAAGGGAATTAAAGAGAGCCAAGAAAATATCCCCCACACCATGACACCCCACCACCAGCCTGAACCGCTGATACAAGGATGGATCCTTTCATGTTGTTGACTCCGAAATCTGACCCTACCATCCGAATGTCGCAGCAGAAATCCAGACTCATCAGACCAGGCAACTTTTTCCAATCTTTATTGTCCAATTTCGGAGAGCGTGTGCGAATGGTAGGCTCAGTTTCCTGTTTTTTAGCTGACAGGACTGGCACCCGGTGTGGTCTTCTGCTGCTGACCCTCAAGGTCTGACGTGTTCTGTGTTCACAGTTGCTCTTGCAGACCTTGGTTGTAACAAGTGGTTATTTGAGTTACTGTTGCCTTTCTATCAGCTCCAACCAGTCTGACCGTTCACCTCTGACCTCTGGCATCAACAAGGCATTTTCGCCACCGATCTGCCGCTCACTGGATATTTTCTCTTTTTCGGACACTAGACCAGGGATGTCGATCGCGATCTACCAGTCGATCGCAAGGGTAGTATTGGTAGATCGCATTACATAAAAAAAAAAATCCGTTTATGCATTTACGTGTAGACAGTATGCCCCCAAAACAACAACAAACAAAACGTGCAACCTCTGATCACTGAAGAAGCAGCTAACATCCTCGCTCTACATCAGAGAGCATCAGGTGACTCACGCTCAAAAACAACCAAAACAGGAGCTAAACCAGGACTAAACCAGGGCTGAGGACGGGCTCAGTGCTTATGAACATATGTCTTTACCCTGAGTTTCTTCTATGACTGTAAGTGCCTCTACAGAAGTACCGGCGTCTGCATCAAAGCTCCGCCCACTTCTGTGGTTTTTCCCCAACGCAGGACGTCAGAGACGCACATGTTTGGAATGTTATGAATGTGATTGAAAACGCGGATGTTCGTTTATGTGTGGATGCAAATTATTTCATAAATCCTGTGGTTTTGCATGTACATCAACATACATTGTAGATATATCATTATTATTATTATTCATCTTTATTAAGGACACAATACAACACGGTCCATAGTTAAAAGAAATTATCCAATACACACAGTATATTGCATATTGAAAAAGAAATATATACAGGAAAACATAACAAAAAAGAGAACATTACAGCTGATGTACAGTATAAAGGCATGACCTCCAGTAAGTCCATAATTTGGAGGTGAACAGCAGTGAGCAGAACTCAGGGGTGACCAGCGTCTAAACAATTGCATTTTTAGAGTTCCTCAGACAACACATGAATCTGAACTGTACATTACGAAGTGATGCAGAACAGGAGCGGACACCACAGTAGGCAAACATCTCACTCACACTGCTGTGCCGAGGAACCTTCAGCAGCAGCCTCAAGGAGTTGTATAGGCCACAGTGAGTTTCTGCAAACTGGACTTTTTAAAACTCTTCCAAAGGTGAGCAGTGTACATAGGTGAGCAGTAAGATTTAAATAAAGTAACCTTTACCTCAGGAGAGCACATACTAAACTTACGTGGCAGCATATTTGATTGGCCATATAACTGACACAGCTGCCTGTGCATGTCCTTGTCATCAGAAAGGTCACTGGTGATGTAGTGACCGAGAGTAAAAAATCAGGACAACATAATTTACTGTCATCTTTAGTACGTGCAATCATTACAAGGCTTTTTGCAGCGTTGTATTTGATATTTGATCCAAACCATATTGAGAGCACACAGTTGCTGAAGACCAGCAGGGACTGAACACCAGATCGTCTGCGTACATGAGGTGATTATAACTGCTGTAACCAACACTGCATCCTGTGGTACAGGAGTTGCAGCGACAGGTCATCCATGTACACATTAGGCAAGGCAAGTTTATTTGTATAGCACAATTCATACACAAGGCAACTCAAAGTGCTGAACAAGAAAGCATTAAAATCATAAATAATCACAGAACATTAAAAAGAAAGATAAAAATATAAAATCCCTCAGTTGTATGCACAGCTAAACAGAACTGTCTTTAACCTGGTTTTAAACATTGTCAGAGAGGAGGCCTGTCTCACATCTTCAGGAAGACTGTTCCAGATTTTAGCAGCATGAATCTGAAAAGCAGCCTCCCCATGTTTAGTTCTGACTCTGGGCACAGGAGTCCAGTCCCTGTGCTCCTCAGAGTCCGGGCTGGTTCATATGGGACTAACATGTCACGAATTAAGCAACCAGGGAGAGAGAATCCCTCTCTGACGGACCCCATTAGTGACTCTGAAGGAGTCAGAGAGAGCCTCCTCCCATTTCATCTGCATGGTCTGCTTTGAATACCACAACATGAGCAGAACCAGGAACTCCTCGCTTTGACAGTTTCGAATACAATTTCTCATGATCAATTCTGTCAAAAGCCTTGGAGGCATCGAGAAAACACACAAACATTGTAGAGCCCTGAC